CAGTGACGAGTCATTTCCCACCTGAAGAAGCTTAATGCGCAAGCTCTGGTCGGACTGGAAGAACGTGATTCGCACAGAGCACCGGAGGGCGGACGCGGCCTGCGATCGCCTTGACTCGCTTCGGCTTGTCCGGCGTTATAAAGTTCAGATGTGAATAACCTACAGGCGTGCACGGAACTGACCTACATCCCGAACGCGCGCGCACATGTGTCTGTGCGAGTGTGCTCGCGTGTCTGTATCTGTGCCTGTAAAGATATGTAGCCTTTGTACACGTAAGTGCAACTACATGTTGCCGTCTGTCGAATCACACAACTAATGCAGAATCCAGGTTCTGACATTTATTCAAACTGTTGGTAAATCATACTGCAAACACTTGCGTGAGCAAATGAGCTGTTCCTGAACCCATACACTCATGGCCAGATCAGTGAGCCTAGTAGGTCCTATACAAGGCAATAAGTCCAAGTTTAAGCATAAATGTTTGATATTCTCATTCGTTCCTTTGATCAGCCTCACCGAATCTTAAACAATCCCCGACCCGTTTCGCCAAGGAAACGAACACAACAGGAGCATTTCGACTGGAAGAGCCCCAAATATAGAAATGTCAACGACTGCTTTCACCGGATCCGGCGTTTATGCTTAAAAAGCGAGGAATTGATTGGCCGTTTGTAGAGTCATGAAATGGACCAGGAACCTTCCTGAACAGAGCAGTGGTCACCCCCTGTCCTCTGAGCCTTCCTGAACATGAGCAGTTTCCACTCGACCCTGTCCTTTGCGGTCCACCACTGACTTTCACGCATTGCATTCCAGGAAGGAAGCGCGAGAGCAGACGCTTAGCCAATCAAGCCTTGTGTTAACAACACTAGCTTTCGATGTCTGTTTCCGGAAGGGAAGCTTAAGCGTCACTGATTGGGTAATCGAAGACGTCCAGCCGGACGCACACCATGCAAGCAGCGACACGCGCAGGTGATGATCTCGTAAAATATGCGCTGTCTTTATCAAACAACGGATCCACATATTTTTATTGACCTTACAGCTGGTCGACTGCACAAGGCCACAGTACATTTGGGTCATTTTCTGGGCACTAATTACTATAAATGGTACTGCCTTTATCATCATTCGTTATAACAAAACTGAAAATGAAAATAAACAAACGGCACTTGCCCCCCCCCCCCTCAGTATGTCACCAAGGGTCCGCCCTAAAACTGCATGAGACTGCTGTGTTCCTGCAACAGGCGGGCTTTGTTCTGGCCGGGCCAAGTCCGCTCCCACGACCCGTAGCACTTCGCATAATCACACCAGTCAATAACAGCCTCGAATTATCACTTCCTTGTGACAAAGCAACTACACAGCATCAAGCCACCGCGTGCAAAACATACTGCTATTCCCATGTCCGTAAACGCTTATCAAATCTACTTTGGGAAGCCAGATAGTTTGTGCACGACATCTAATCTGAAATTCCACGAGAGCAGACAAGGAAGCGAATGCTGTGGAAAGAGAGGGCAGCGTACAGGCCGCGCCCGGAGTCCCCTCCGCCTTCCCCACGCAGACCCGAGTTCACAAGTACACCAATCCACTCGGTCGCTACACATGAGTCCCTCGACAGGGCAGCGACTGCGCCATGTCTTGGTCTAGCATTCTCAAAGCTGTAGCCACGGACACCAGCGTTCCCCAAATCTGGAGCGGCCTGTCCTTCGTCTCCGGGTGGCGGTCGTGTTGGAAAACAGAGAGAGCCCCAGGGCAAGCTGTAGGCCTAGAGAGCACAGGTTATGTTCTTACCAGGTGACTTAGGCCTAGACGATTCTAGTCCTCGGTGAGCATAATCTTGGAGTGCGCGTACGTGAAGAGTTTTATTTCTCCCGATGCTAACAGACAGCATGGGGGCGCTGAATCAGTAAATGGACACAGTGTCTGGTGATCACAAAATGTTATCTCCCTTGCTTGTCAACCCCAATTTTTCATTATCTGATTTGAAAAATAAATTTACAAAACAATTCACATCTGTAAAAAAGCATCTAGCCAATCTGGCTGCACTCTTGTCGGCTTACGGCTTAGAGTCAACATTAAATATACATGCCTGGAAGGAGGAGGAAAAAACACGCTTCTAAAACGAATGCAAGAGTGAGCAATGCTTCTTTATATGCTTTTAAAGCATTTGAGATACACTTAGTCATGTGGGCCATCAGCTGTTAGCTGATATATTCAAGGATTACTACAGACTGCAGTGAAGCAAGCAACATTGGTGGCAGGTCCATGCTGCCTTGTAAGTAGGGGTTGGTGGCTGTGGAGCTGTTGTTGGGGCTCGTGCTGAGCTGTGCGGATTAACACCACACATCATAAAATATGAGTGAAGTATGAAAGTCTTTCTTCGGAGTAAAAACAAAATACAAAAGTTATGGGTATGAGAAAGGACAGTTGTATGGATTGGTGATTTACAAGTGAATATTCATACGAGACCAACTAAGAATACCGCTTCGGGCCCGCCTCACTGATAAATAACAGAAAACATCACAGTTCCAACCTTTATATTTATGCTACGAATGGTAATACTGTTAAAAATAAAGGAAGTCTAATCATTTTTAAAATTCCCATTGCAATATTCGGTTACTGTGTGGTTGTGCTTTCAATGCCTTGTGGTTTAAACCCATCTAGGTCACCGAACACATTTAGTGCATTGCCATACAGTTACCATAGTTAAAGAGGCCGATAATGAGCTAAAGTCAGTGAGCCATGTGACGGCAGGCACCACTGCCTAATTATCGCATTCCTGGATAGCTTTAAAACCACAAGGAAAGCAATGACGTTTTTCATTCGGCCACACGAGCAGAAATTCAATGCTTTGCTAAAATGGACACATCACTGACTGCCACATTAACAGTACACCCACTTTCAATAAGCACGAGGCACCTTCTCTACAAATGGTCGGAATTGCCATTTACGTTCTTTTTGAGCTGCGTGCTTCCACCTCGCCCTTCCATTATATTAGTTAACTCTGAGCTGCTCAGAAAGCAACGAGGGCATGTATGGCTTCTTACTTTCCACCATTATTTACAAAGCAAGTGTACTGATATTAACAAATAGTTTATTTTTTAATTACCTATACGCAAATGTTTAGTATTTAAGCTGGCAGCCAAATCTACATCATAAGTAAACTTGAACAACATATAATCCAACCCAAAGCAGCTATCCCAACTGCCACGAGTATGTACAATGGTGGGACACTGACAAGTGGTCAACGCGTCATTACCGGCAATTTACAAACAATAGTCAGACTGATAATGGAACAATTGGCGGGGTTTGTTAATACCATAGGTTTCCATTTCATACGAAGAGTGACATAATGTGGGCGGTGCCACGTATTCGGCCTCACCCGAATAGTCTTTCAATCTTCCTTCAGTCCAAGCTCCATCTTCGGGGCTGTCCGAATCCCCTCGTGACTGATACATTATCAGGGCAAACGCAATCAGATTCATATCAAAGAAAAAAAAAAAATCTCGCATCTAAGGTATTTCCTTCGTAAGGTGATGATAAGATAGTTGTGTAATGCGTAATACTTTGGTATGCAATAGCAATTATATAATCACTGATATACTGATTTATATGAGCAGATTAAGCATAACTTCAGCACTGAGGAAAATAGATCGCGACGAAAGCCGCGCGGAGAGCACCCGGCGATCAGGAACCAGAGCGAGAGGAAGGGGCTCCGAGGGGCGTAGCCGCCGCGGATCTAACTGGGACTCCGTCGCAGATGTGCGATCACTTCGTAAACAATTACCGAGTGTTTGTCTTTTGGCTCAAACATATTTGCTTACCAAGCTCAAATTAAGGTGAACAGCAACGCCAACAGAAGTCAGCGAGGCAGTGTACAGTCAAACTTAATAGCTGATCCCCAAATAATTACAGTATTTACTGTGATTTAACTCAAATTTTACCCTGATGTATTTCCCTCGACATTAGATATCCATTTCCGCAAAATTGCATGCAACTGCAGCCATCGCTAAAAGTTCGACAGCAAAACATTTCATGATTAGTACTTAGAGGACTCTCACTGCACAATCCGCGAGAGCTGCTTACATAATCCGAGCAAAACGTTCTGGTCAGGAACCGTTCGGGCGGAATCTAGCGAGTTCCTTCCCATGAGTATAGTATAAGTATAAGTATTTCCATAACCCTTGTTCCTCCCAGCCCACCTCCCGAGTCCCCAGCGAAAGACCGCCCTCGTTGCTCGCCGGGTTCGAGGGCTCCTGCCGGGGGCGTGTCGGGCGTGGGCTCACCTGCATCGGCGGGGCCCCTGGGCGGGTTGCCTCCGACGGGGCATTCATGTCCGGATGGCATAACCTTAGGAACAGCATTTCCTTTATGCGCTGTTTATTGCATGGCTTGTTCCTTGCAGTTCTAGGCTATGGGGTTACCTGTATGGTCTGCCGGGCACCCTAATAACGACAGTATATCTCCACCAGCGTTAATTGCGATAATTAGCATGAAGATATAACATCGAGACGCGCCCATCACAACCCTTGCTTTATTAAGTTATTCCTAAACATTCATTTTTTTCTGCTTCGGCAACAATGAACTCTGTTCGTGATGGGTGAGCAGAAAGAAATCAGCTGTGGTTTACGTTTAGAAATTTAAATGAAAATGCACCGCGCAGCTCTCCCGCCCGAGAAAGTGTCCTCGGAACACCAATGGAGAATTTAGATTTGGGTTCACGTCGCCCCTGGAAAGAGCGCGGCCGGAATCACGCGGCGGGTGAAAGCTCACGGGCGCCTGGCATTCCGCCGAAGGAGCGCCTCGCAGCCCGGCAGGTGTGGCAACGGACGAACGGACGGGTTATGAGGCCGAGTCGCGGCCGTCCGTTCGGGCAGGGGGGGGGGGGGCACAGGTGAGCTGACCCGAGGCCCGATGCCCAGCTGGACCTGCCCGGGCCCGGGTTGTCACCTGTGGAAGCGGCGACTCCCCTCGCCCCTCCTGACCGCTGCAAACGAGGAGAAGCGCGTTCTTAC